TTTAATCTCCGGGTATAGGTAACTGATTGCGTCTCTCCCAGTATCCTTCCCATCCCCCTCGTGATATTACCAGTTACAATTCATCCGTGTGCTTGCTGTCCTAAAATGCAAAGCTACGACACGATCCGGTGGAGAGCGTGGTGCGTTATGAACTACCTGCTGTAGGACTGGAACACGCGAAGTCTGGGGACAACCCTGGAAAGCTGGAGGTCTCGCTTTCCTACTTTAAGGAAATTTGAATCGGAAATAAGCAGCTCCGCTGCGGTCAGTGTTGTTATACCGGCGTACAGCTGCAGATTTTCCGGAGAGATCAAAACGAGGGTTCTGCTCCTAAAATTATGCCAGTCACGTCTACAAACGGTGAGCCACATACGGAAATCCCTACTTATTCTGTATCCAGGGCATTCCCAAGGTGCCTTGCAGATTAGGAACGTGGAAATAATCCATTACTTACAGAAATAATAGTTCTCTCGCCAGTAATCCAAAATTAATTGTGTTATAGCCAATTAACTTTGATCATCCAGGAGAGGAGTTGCCGATGGCGCCCTTCGCCGTGTCGGCGTTACAGCTCGAGAAGATGAGAAAAGAACCATTTCTATCCAAAGGCGACATGTGTATGGGATTTCTGAGGAATACGGGATTTCTGAGGAACATGGGCTTGTCGAGAGTCTCGGCAGAAATGGCGAAGGCCGAGGGCTCCCCTCCTGGCTGCGTTTTCCTGGGGCAGGGGCTGGAGCTGTGCGGGGACCAGTCAGCTTCACGTCCCAGAACCTCTCTTGTAAGCTCACGTGCGCCGTGACAATTGGCAGCGTGTAAGGAATTAACGTTTCTATGTTGTTCTGAGCAACATCATGTATATGACGTTATTTCCCCGAAACAGACCCTTCAGAAAGCCCAAGAGAAAAGATTATGTTCTGATGAAACGGAGAGCGATTCAAAAGGGAAATAGGACTTTTATAAGCTCGTGCATAGGGCTCAAAAAAAGCCGTTTAGAAAAATGCCTGGAGCCCCGAGAGAGAGCAGGAGGCGATGCAGAACACAAGCGGAGCGGGCAGAGGGGCCCAGTGGGGCAGCAGGAACCCAAGGAAAGCTCAGTCCAGCACGGGTCGTCTCCCCTCTCTGCCCCTTCCCTACTGAACTGCCAAACCCTTATTTTGAGTGGGTTGGAGACGAGGGGCACGGCAAGCCGTGGGCTCGCTGACCCTGCCCGTGTGATAGGAGAGTCCGCTGCGCCGTATCCTGGTGGCAAGAACATTTTCTAGACAGGGGCAACAACAGAGGATCCGGACTTTACAGAAAAGGACTGACTCCGCCCAAATTTGTGGCTTTTGAGGCCTTTCTAGTTGGCAGCGGGGCTCGTATCCATTCTGGCCCTCTGGCAATGACAGCACAGGCAAACTGTCCGTATATTTTAAGCAATTTTAAGCAGCGAGACAAAGTTGGGTTAGATGAGATTAATTTAACCATTCACTTCTTGGTGTGTCACCAGGGTGTTTGTGATTCACTGCGTGATACCACAGCCTCTTAGGACTGCGCAGAGAGGATGTCCCACCCTGCCCACGTCCCTGTGCCAGTGCCCTGAGAGTGTTAATTGCCCTGACGGGGCTCAGTGAGGGCCCGCACCCACACACCCTCCGCCCCTTGGCACGGGAGCTGCCTTTAAGATGAGAGGCCATTGGTTTAGGTCTTTGTTTAGGGTGCGGGGTGGATTTGGGCTTGGAGCGCTCGACATCGTGGCTGTGGACCTGCTGTGGTGACACCCCTGAGGATCTGGACTGCGGTTGTTCCCGGTCAGTGGCGCCAGACCTGCTCTGCACCTCTCGTTTGGCTCCCGTGGGGCTGTGCTGCTTGTGGTGAGCTCTGTCCCCCCTCCGCTGTCACCTTTGGCTTCTGGCTTGTGGTGGTGATGCACCCCTGCTCTTGCTGCTCCCTAATTTGCTCAGATGTTTTGGGCCCTGAGCACTACAGAGGCTTTCAGGATTTTGCCCGTAGGACTTACCCTGTGGTTCAAGGCTGATCTCCAAACCCTGCAGCGGGACTTTGTGGCTGCAGCGGGAGGTCACCGTGCTGCAGGGTTGAGTGGGGATTAGAAGCGGGCGCGAAGGTTTTGGGCTTAAATAAAGCTCCCTAAATGCAATGGGTGGAGGCCCCAGATGAGGCTGGTCAGGGCACTTGGAGCCTGTTGGTACACTTCAGGCCCTGACATCATGCTTGGCGGGTTCTCTTGGCAGCCTTTAAATCCGTACGGGATGCAGCATGAGTAATGAAGCCAGCTATAATTTTGCCCTAAATTAAGTCCCTCCTTCCTGTTTTCCGAGAGTGAATCCACAGGAGGTGATGTGGACAGTCTGTCGGTTCTTGATGAAACGCTGAGGGCCATAAGCTGCGGGTGGGATTTGACTTCCACCGGAATTACTGCAGAAGCAGGAAATTCTCATGGTGGTTCCGGTCTCTTAGGATAAACTCGCGTTATCTGGTTCGCATTGAGGGGAGTGGAGATCTGCTTCTTACCCAAGGACTGGGTTAGGTTAAACCTCAAAGACCTGGGGACTTGCAGGAACATACCCTGCCTCTCTGCAGTATGTTCTCCACAGTGTGCCCCCAAGATACAATAGTTTCGGAATGACTAATTCCTGTGCGTCAAAACAGGCAGAATCCCTGCCTGAGGCTCCCGTTGTTCCCAAAAACATGAGGCTTGGCCTTAAAAAAGACTTGCTTGGAGTCTGCTGTGGACACATGAGGAGAGGCTGCGGAGGTGTGGGAGCTGACTTGTAACTGCCCTGAAACAAAAGGGGCCTGAGGGAAGAAGATAAGGAGAGTCTTCCCCTTAAAATGACTCAAACACTTGCAAAGTACCCAGAAAACAAAAACTATAGTCTCGGGGTGGCTGGTGGGGAAGCTGGATAATGCAACCTGGTACTCAACGAACTGATAAGGCCAAGGTTTGCTCCTCTCTTGTGCGAAGGATGCGGGAGCCCTGTGGAGATGGAGGGGGCGGTTTCTGCTCCGGCAGAGATGAGAACTTGGTTTGTTCTCATCTTACCTGGTGAATGGTCCTTGCATATGTCAATGAAGATTAGCCCCCACCCAAATCCTGCTACACATCACCTGGGGAAGGGGGAAACTTGAGATTAAGTAGTGGGGTGGGTCACACTGATACAGTGAATATAAAAAGGGGACAGAAGTGGCACAGATTGTGGGGGGGAAGGAAGAAATATCAAACAGAAGGAAAGAGAACACACAGAAGAGTGCTCCTAGGAACCAGAGACACCCCCAGTTGGCTGGACCAACGCTGGAACGTGGAGTGGTCATTGATCTCTCTCTCTCTCTCTCCTTTTACTTTTGGGGACTACATATATACGTAGGAGAATTATTTTGAGCAAATTCTTTTCGCCGAAGTTGTTTTGTTTGTTCAGGAGAACCCTCTTGCTGAAGTTGTTCTTGTTTTGTTTGTGAGAACCCTTTTGCGTGGCAAGTAAATTTGTGATTTAAACGAGCCTCTGGAATAATTGTTGTTGTTCTGGATGCACAGAGTGTGAAAAAAGGTCACCTTCCCCTAGCCCACTGAGTGGGATGGGACAAGAGGGGTAGGGTGGGAGTGGAGATGACAAAAGGGGTAGGGTGGGAGTGGATAATGGGGGAGTCTCCTCAGGGAGGTGCTGACAGATGATGAGAGCAGTCTGGATGAGATCCTCTGGGGACTGTCAGAGGCTTCCTCTCCTCGGTCTCCTGAGGTTGGTTACGGAGTAGCTGAACTGTCTCCCTCCTGCCCCATGTTAATTCCCAGGAACCCCATCTCTGGGTATGACAGCAGGGTCAGCCCCTGTCTCTTCCTCAGTAACATTTTTAGCGGGACGAACAAAAAGACTGTCCAACAGCCCTCTGGCCCTACCTGTCCTTCTGGGACAACCATGGCCGGGTGTCCCCACGACCAAAGGCAGGAGAGACGCTTCCCAAAGCTCGGCCAGGAGGCTGCCGTCGCCGTGACTCCTTCAACGCAGATAACGACACCTTTACGGAAGGCGAACAGGATGGAGGCCGTTCCCTGTGGAGCGAGACGTAGACACAGTCCAGCACGAGAGCAAAGGGACCCAGAGAGCTGCTGGATCAGGGAACAGCCCTGCAGGCACTGTAAAGCTGAGGGGACCCAGCAGTGGGTGTTCCAGCGCTTCTTCAAACCCGTGTCACCTCTTCCTGAGAAGGATGCTTCATTAGAAGATGATGTCTGGCGAGCCTGTCCGAGGAGAAGGGGCTAGCTGCAGAGTGGAGCTTCTCTAAGTTCCTGTTCACTCGAGGCTTTTTTCTCCTCCTACTATACAACTTTCGTGTGAATTTTGCTGCAACCTTAATTTGCCTGAAGCGCTGGCTGGATGGATCAGTAGGAAACCATCCCCGCTGAAGATGGGGAGGATGCCAGTAATTTCAGTGAAGAATAAATCGAAACTATCTGGCTTAGATCTGGAAGTGCGTAACTTGGATATAGGAGTGAATCTGTAGCATCGCCTTGTCCCAGTCTATCAGAGACAGCTTGTCGCATAGCAGGCAGGCCCCAGAGTTCATCCTTCAAAGTAATCACTCCAACGGAGTGTTTTTGCTGGAGGAAGACCTTGCTGCTGTCTGCCTCTTTGTAACGAGGAGTGGGCTACTAGAAATAAAAACCCATGACCAAGAGCTGGCGGGTAGAGCTCCTCACCCCTAGTGAGAGCTGCGATGACGTTCGGTTTGACTGTTTTCTTCTATCCAGCAAAATCTGTAAGAGGACGATGAGGAACTTTGTGGGCAAAGCTTTGCAAACAACTCCTCCCTTACGGGTTTAAATGTGGCAGTGGAAAATATTTTGGGGGGGGTGAAATTTGCCTCCTATCTGTTGTTTGCCTTGAAAGCTCTGATAAACATGAGAACTTAGTCACATGGAAGACAGATATGTTTTGTCTGAAAAAAGGGTTTCTTAATAAGTCCTGCATAAATTCACCTTTGCCAGGCTGAGCTGAACTTCACATCAAACATGAAGCTGATTTGGATCTTCAGTGCCCTCTTCGGGGCTTCCTTGTGCCTGGAAACTTTTGTTGGGTGAGTTATGCTTTTGTGGAAGACCTTGCATTTAAGGCCGTATTATCCAGCTGTTGTTTTTCCTGACCTTAACTTTACAAAATCTGCTTGGGGCACTTTCTTTGCTTTTTATGACTGGCTTGACTTGTTGCTTTGGTACTCCGGTGTTTGAAGGAACCCCTCTCCGCTTTCATTTGGGTTTTCTAAGGAGAAGGGTCCAGCTGCAGAGTTGAGCTCCTAAATTCGTGTTCACCCAAGGCTTTGTTTTGGCTTTGACTGTGCCTAGGGAGCAGTCTTGAGCCTTGATCTGGAGCTGAACCACACTGCAAAGCTCGAGTGTTCAGCTTGATGGATCTGGCACAAAGCAGAGCTGGAAGACCAGAACCTGCCCTCAGATCGCAAAGGTCACTAGCTTCCCTTTGTTTTTGAAGAGTCTCATTTCTCTTTAAATGCTTAATTCCTTTCAGAGCCTTTCTAAGCAATTCAAATCCTCATTTCCAACCATTCTAAAGGTTTACCTCTCTGTTGCATTGCAAAATTATCTCCTGGTGTATTTCCTCACAGTCTTACTGTGTAAGAACCTTAACAGAAGAGGTTAAAAAACCTAACAGATACTTCCCCAGATGTAGTAAGCGAGCACTGTATTCCAGTGAGTCAATCTCAAGATGTAAGGATTAAGAAATAACACACATAGTTTACTAAAACCCTAGGGTTTGTAAAGCCAGGAGAAGCTATTTCAATCATTTAATCTGGGCCCTGGCATAGTATAGACTGGATTCTCATGGATTCATTTCTCAGTCACGTCCAGTAGCTGTGGTTAATGACCCTCATCTCCTCACAGGAGAATCTAATCCAGAAATAAAGCTTATGGTGAGGGAGAATAAGTCATTAACGTGGTAAAGTTCTTTCAGTGGTGATTTAACTTGGTTCAACAAAAGCACCTTATACATCAGCTGGCCAGACTGAGGAACCTTCTGTTAACGAGTGTCTCTTCTCAGCCGCTGAGGCCACCTGAGTAAATAAATACGCAGGGAACTGAGCTCTTATGCCGAGCCCCTTGTTCACCCTGGTTAAGATGTGGTTTCCAGTTCTGCAGTTATTCGCCTCGGTTTGCTCGGAGTCGTCTCCACCCTGCAGTGCTGCTCGCAGCAGGTGCGAGCCGAGCAGCCGGGCCAGGCCAGCCCACGGGACTCCACGGACTTTTCTGTCGTCTCCAACAGTGGCCAAAGGCAGATGCCTCGGCAAGAGAATGAAAAGAAACGCACCGAGAGCTTTAACCACCAAGTGCCGTTTGCCGATGCGGCGTTAACGCTCGCCACGCTTGCGGTAACCCCGGGCTGTACAGCTGAGGACCACACCGGTGCTGTTGGCTACCGCAGCCATCCCTGGGCTGCGCTTCCCACCGATTGTTCATTGTGGCTCCCAGGTTTCCTTCAGAATTCCCCCCTGCTTCTCCAGAGTAGGATCTACTGTCCCCCAACTGTCACATCCCCTTGTTGGTAGATCTTTATGACATTCCATCAAAGCATCAGGTGGAAGAGACCTCCAGAAATCTGTAGACCACCCTCCTGCTCAGCACAGGGCATGGACCTGTTCCCCCTTTTCGTCAGCATCTGCCCCTACCATGAAGAGTTTGAAATTTTTTGTAACTCCTCTTCAAGCAGTTGGAGGCTGCGGTGAGATCAGCCGGAACAAGCCTGAGCTCACCAGCCTGTCCTCGTGGTGCTTTTGCTTGTGCCTATTTTACCAAGCAGCCTGGAACATGGTGCATTTGGACGGGTTATATGGTTTGAGTGATCTAAAAGCCACTTGGAGACTGTCCGTTGTGACCACTGTATGCTGTACAATGCATAGTCTTTAAGTGTGGAGGGAGGTACTTCCAGAGGGTGATTCATTCCACCTGGAACGGTGCAGGCCGCCCTCTGATGGTATCAGCTTCTGACCCCACAGGGAAACTTGTCCACAGTCTTCCACTAAACTGAAGAAAAGTGAAATGAATCCCATATTTAGTGTTTGCTGTGTGGTAGAACGCTCCCCAAACGTTTGATCATTTGCAAACTCAACCTGAATTTATTTTTTCTGCAAGCTGTTGACAAAAAAACCTCATGGATGCAAGACGAAGCCTTGTAGGCAGTTCAAAACTCGTCCACTTGATGTCTTGTTTATGATGAAAACTTAAAAATTGCCATTTAACTAGTTACTAACCTAGTGCACATAGAGCAGGCCGGCTGGTTGAACTCTTGGGTGACACTAAGTCAACTCTTTTAAAGAAGTCCGTACTGGCTGGTGGCATCCAAGTAACTACCCACCAAATTCATGATCTCAGTAACAAGGTGGTTCAACCAGATGCCTTTTTGAGACAGTTTCTGAAGACTTACTGATTTATTGCAGGCACCAGGTTCTCCGAATCATGACGAGAAACGAGGAGGAAGTTAAGAAGTTACAGCTCTTGGAATCGCTGGAGCACCTTGAGGTGTGTTGTCACCACAGAGGCACTTTTTAACGTTTCAGGCTGGGGTAGGACTTGTCAGGGGAGGACTTTGCATCGCGTTTGAAAGGTTTGTGCCACGCTGCGGCAGCTGCCATCAGTAGATTTACTGGTGTTTGATCTGCAAGTTCCAGTACCAGCTGGGTATTCAGGAGCGCCTGCGTTCATAATTCCTTCTTGCTGGGTTTACAATCAGATTTTAACTGATCTGCTCTTAATCTTAGGATAGAATAGCTTGTCTTTAAAGCGGGGATGCTGGTTTTGTACTTGTCTCCCAGCGTTGTGGGAGGAATTTATTCGTTAAGTCTGCACGGTATTGAAACAGGAAAACACGCTATAAAAATCTAGGTTATTACTGTTGCTATTGCCATGGGTGAGAATTTTTATTATCACTTGCTTTAAAAATATGAATTTGAATCGTCTAGAAATGAAGATTTAGAAAAGCCCTACTGAAGGAGAAATAAAAACAGTGGGTTTCATATCACCTACTACTGCAATGCAGAGCTTTTCTTGAAACTGTTTCTGTTAAAAGAGAGAATAGTAAAATAATCGTCACAGAAGACTAAAACTTCCTCTTGCTTATATGGCTGAAGCTCTGAAATCAGTGAAAAATCTGACTTTAGCCTCCCGTGGACCTTTGTTATTTTTTTGCTGAGTTTATCACGTGAACAAGTACAAGGTTGCGGTGAGGCCAAGCTGAAGAACGGAGCGTGCTGTAAGCATGGTGGGTCACAATCCTGCGGGAGTCGTTCAGTTTGGGAGAAATCAGCGTTTCCAAAGCTTCAGAAGAGCTGTTTGCCAGAACGCTTTCCCCAAACCCAATCCCTTTTCCTTTCTCTTTTCAGCTTGATTTCTGGAGAAATCCCTCCAGCCCTGCCCTCCCTGTGGATGTGCGAATCCCCGCTAATAGCGTCCAAGGAGTCAAATCCGTCCTGGAGGCCTGTGGGATTGAGTACTCCATCCTGATCGAAGACCTGCAAGTAGGCAATGCCGTTGGCACGTATTTACCTTTTCTATCCTTTGGAAACAAAGAGTGAGTCACAATCTGGCCTCGTTCATTAAGATGGACTCTTCTATTCTCTGCTTTCCATGACGTCCTCCCCTTAATTTTTGTAGTCTGTGGATTAATATCTCAAAGACGGATCTGTGGATTGCTGCTGCACTGGGAAGCTGTGGAGATCACTCTGCAGACGCTGTCTGAAATACAACATCAATAAGCTCGTAGGCTCCAGGGGCTCTTCTGATAACCCCTGTGGAATTTCGTGGGGGCTTTTGGCCTCAGACGTTTGGGAATCATGACGCTAAAGTTACTCACAATTCAGTAAGCTGTGTTCAGAGTCGTTCAGGATCGTAACCTGAAAGGACTGCACACCATCGTGTGAGAGAAAAGTCACCCTCTGGGGCACTAATCTGACATTTCTTCCTGAGTAGCAGTCCCAAAACAGCATCTAAACCAGCAGCAACCTAGCAGAAACACTACTTTTTTTTTTCTTTTCTCCCCAAATGCTTTCTAAAGCTATTCTTGCTCATCGTAAGAAGCGTTTAAAACGTAGTGCTGACCGTTTAAACACTGCTATTCTTGCCCGCTTCGCTACAGGTACATTGAGCAGAAGCATCGGTTTGGGGCTGGGCTCAGGATGCAGCACCACCGTTTCGTTAGCTGAGACAAAGGTTTGCAAATTAAGCAGGCTTTTCTCAACATTGGAGTGGCTTCTTTTAGGTTGTTCTAGATAAGGAAAAGCAAGATATGGCCTGCAGTCAACAAAGAGATCGCAGCAGCAACCTCTTCAACTATGGGACTTACCACACTTTAGATTCTGTGAGTACCTCAGCTTTGCGGGGAGATAATTCTTTTTTTCTGGCCTTTTTTCACGCTGTCTTCCATTAAACATCCTATGTTAGGATCGAAACCATCTTTCTCGCTTCTTTTGACACATGGTTTTGTTTTTAAATGTATTCATTTTGTGGTCAGCACAATGAGCCAGCGCTCTCCCTAACGGAGGGTTGGAACTGGCAAGTGTTGAGCGTACTTTTTCATAACCTTTTCTGCAGAGTTCAGTCAAAACTCTTCCTTCTGACCCTCAAAAGAGACTGAGAAATAAGTGAATCTTGAAATAGGGAAATAGGAAACCTGTAGCTACCAAGCAGAGCAGAGAGTAAGGTGTTTTTATCATCTGAACTTCTCAAAGAGGGTTTGAACTTGTTTATTTCTGAAATAAATAGATCTTAACGATATAGCAGTGCTTCCTTCTACTTTGTGATGTTAGGAACAGCACTGACTACGCTGATGTAAGGTGAGATGGGGCCCTGAAGAGGTCATAGTAATGAAGGCAAAAGGAGACAAAAGTAGATTTCCATCAGGTCCTACGGTTGTTCTGGGCAGTGCTCTACGTAAATGTGTATGTCAGCATGACTTTTCATTTCAGATTTATGCAGAACTGGATCATCTTGCATCGGAGTATAGCAACCTGGTCAGCAAGCTCCAGATCGGGGAGTCCTATGAAAAGCGGCCTTTGTACGTGCTCAAGGTACGACGTACACCACGTCAAAGCATGCGTGTATTACGCATCTGTAATTACACATACATAATTACACATCATCTGCATTACGCATATGTACACATCTGCATTATAGACACAGCACAATTCAGTCCGAAGCATCCCAGTGTAAACGAGATGTTCTTGACTAAAAGGTGTCAGTGAGAGTTTTAAAACTTTCTGTTTTTTTTTTTTTTTAACAGTTCAGCACCGGAGGAAGCCGCCGTCCTGCAATCTGGATCGATGCCGGTATCCATTCCCGAGAGTGGGTCACCCAAGCAAGTGCAATATGGATAGCTAAAAAGGTCACTTGGTTTTTCTTTTGTTGTAGGAATGCCTCTGGCTATTTAAAAGTTTATCACGCCAGTGTGTGTTCAGCCAGCTTTGCTGCTGACTCTCCTTCACCCCCCCTTAAAGCACACCCGGCTCCAGAGGGAATATGGCAGCTGCCTAGACAAAGAATGGAAAAATGCTGTGTGTTGTTGGAGCAGCTGGGGAAAGTTGAGGTAGACAAAATGTAGTAGCTCAGGTGAAATTGTTGAGGACTGCTGGGCCGATAGTTTTACTATATAAATATATAAATAACCGAGGAATTTTTGAAGATGACTTTGCTGCTTCGGTCTGCCAACACAGAGAAACACTGTGTCGTTGGTCACCTTCCACAAAAGTGCCACAACTTCCAGCTCTGTATAAATAAGCATTTCAATTCTGCTGAAAGTGATGAGGCCACGAGAGAAGTGCAGCACAGTTTTATAGTCCCAACCTGGCTAATCCACCTCAAGCTTAGTGCCAGCCTTGGCCCCCATTCTCCAGGACAGGCAGGAGAAAAATTTGTGGCCCTCAGAGTAAAATAGTCAAAAAAAGATTCATTGCTCTCTCCAGGTCTAACGAGGAACAGCTAATGGCCAGCAGATAATTGAAGTTTCTTGTTTCCCTGCCCTGAAAGCCAGACTTGCCTGTGTACCTACCCGTGAGAGCGTAAGCAGGCGGGAAGGAAAGATGGTGATGATCCCGGTGTGCCATGTTGTCTCCGCTTAGATCGCCTCTGACTACGGGAAGGATCCATCCATCACCTCTCTGCTGGACAAAATGGACGTTTTCCTGCTGGCAGTCACCAACCCTGATGGATACGTGTACACTCACACCACGGTGCGTAAACACGCTGTGGGCTTAAGCTGGTGGAGCAAGCTGTTGTGCTCTTCCGAGCGAACAAGAAATATGAGGGAAGCAGGCCCTGAAAGTCCATTTCTTAACACCTTAAGAAGAAGTTACAAAAGACTTGGGCAGCCAAAGATACTAATGACTTGTCTAACCCATCTTAACCCACTGTAAATTCACCAGCGCTTCGATTTTTGTCCTTTGGCCCATCTCGGCTGTCAGCCCATCAGAAGCAATCCTAGGCTAGTGCCTGGGATCGCTTCCTGGTGAATGGCAACTATTTCTCGGCGGCAGCTTTAATGCAAGGGTTGAGATTTGCTCCTTTTTGAAGCCAGGGTGTTTCTTTGGTTTAGAATCGCATGTGGCGAAAGACCCGCTCCAAGAATCAAGGTAGTCGGTGTGTCGGAGTCGATCCAAACAGGAACTGGGATGCAGGTTTTGGAGGTAGGAATAAAGCTGCTGGATTCTGGCTGTCACTTAGAAGAAAGTTCCTTTTTATGTTCCCAGATCCTGTCACACAGGACCAGCAATTGCCTTAATATAAGGGATTTGGAAAGAAAATGGTCAAATAGGGTGGTAGCTGTGTTTTGTAAAGATAATTTTGTGTTGATTACTTGCCAGTGAGCACAAGATGAAGGCAGTAATCTGTCTCATCTAGAAGTATGTCCCCTGAGTATTTGTGCTCTCTTGCTGCCGTTTGTTTGAGCATTTATCAGCATTTAAGGCCTTGCCTTTGGCTGGAGACCTGCTCTTAGGAGAGCCCGGCTTTGTGTTGGTCTTTGACCTCTCGTGAATGTCGGTTCTCGCAGGTTTGCCCTTGTTCCCCCTTTGCACCAACAGGTCCTGGAGCCAGCAGTAATCCCTGTTCTGACTCTTACCACGGGCCCAGTGCCAACTCAGAGGTGGAAGTTAAGTCCGTTGTCGACTTTATTAAGAATCATGGAAACATCCGGGCCTTCCTCACCCTCCACAGTTACTCGCAGCTCCTGATGTATCCCTATGGCTACAAATGCACCGAACCGGCAGACTACGCCGAGCTGGTGAGACGTCGTGGCTTGGCTTTAGCTTCCTCTGTTCTGCCCAGCTGGCTTTCTGTCCACTGGTATTACAGTGAGACCCCAGGATAAAAACGAGCGGCTGAACTCTGCCGTCCGTCACACCCACCGTCTGTGAGAGGGAACAAAGCCCTAGTGCCACGCGATGCCTTTAAAAGAGAAATCTTGGCCATGTGCAAGCACGTGCCATCCCCCACCCCCACCCCCCAGCCTCAGCCCTCTTTGCTCATCCACGTTTCCTCCTCCTTTAATGACACCATCGCAGCTGTACTAATATTTTTGCGGCGGTACGGGTCGCACCGTCGTAATTCAAATACAAAAGGCCTCTGGAGGTCTCTCGTGCCACCCTCAGGCAGGCTTTGGAGGCAGAGACGGTTTCAAGGCTGGATTGGGTTGCTTAGGGCCTTGCCCAGCTGAGGTTTGATGAACTGATATTTCTAAAGACGGACTCCACAGCTTCTTCAAGCCCATCCCAAAGTTTCGCCACTCTCGTGGGGATTTTCTTTTTCCCTAAACGCAGTTTTCCCCCCTCTGGCAATTTGTTTGTTGCCGCTCGTCCTTTTGCCCTACTCCAAGAAGAGCCTGGCTCTGCTTTCTCTACAACCACCCATTCTGGCGTTGAAGTGAGCCCAAAGCTGACCACCGACTGTTGGAAGATCTCTGACCCCCTTGGGATTTTCTGGTCTCTCTCAAACCTTCTTTTGACCAGGCGGTTGGTGAGATGAAACACTGGATGATCGGATATAGAACCTGCCGTGATTTAATTCACCTACAAGGTCACCTTCCAAAAATCCTGTGGAAGCTGTGAGCGCTGTCACCAGGAGGAGTGATTAAGAAATGGATTGATTTAGTTTGTTGTAGGGGTGTGAAAGATTTTGTGAAAGATGGTGGAGATTTCCCTGAGTATGGTTCGGGTTGGCGAAATCTTAACGTGTAGTCTCATGAAGCGTGACTGCTTTCTGACTTGTCCTTCCTCTTCTCCTCTCCAGGATGCCTTGGGAAAAGCTGCTGCCAGTTCCATCCGGTCCCTGTACGGCACCACCTTCACAGTGGGGAGCATTTGCACTACTATCTGTGAGTGCTGCGCTAGTCTGAGCTTTCACGGGCTGTCCCAGGACAACAGTCTCTGTCCCCTCCACGAGGGTTCTCCCTCTCGGAAGCGGTGATGCTTCTGTAGAGTGACACCACCAGGCAAACATCGGAGCTGAGTGTTTGCGTAGAAATACTTGTCCCTCGCAAATCATGGAATCACAGAACGGTTTGGGTTGGGAGGGACCTCAAAGACCATCCAGTTCCAACCCCAATGCCATGGGCAGGGACACCTCCCACCAGACCAGGTTGCTCAAGGCTCCATCCAACCTGGTCCTGAGCACTGCCAGGGAGGGGGCAGCCACAGCTTCTCTGGGCAGCCTGTGCCAGTGTCTCACCACCCTCACAGGGAAGAATTTCTTCATAGTATCTCATCCAAATCTCCCCTCTTTCGATGTGAAACCATTACCACTCACCCTATCACCACACTCCCTGATCAAGAGTCCCTCCCCACCTTCCCTGTAGGCCCAAAGTATAACAAGTAGGACGGCAGAACTCAAATCAATCCTCTCTTCACCCCTCGGGCTCTTCTCCCTTTCAGACCAAGCCAGTGGAGGCAGCATTGACTGGAGCTACGATTACGGCATCAAATACTCGTTCGCCTTTGAGCTGCGAGACACGGGTCGCTACGGTTTCCTCCTGCCGGCCAACCAAATTATCCCAGCGGCAGAGGAGACCTGGCTGGGTCTGAAAACCATCATGGAGCACGTGCGAGACAACTCGTACTGAAAGCAGGGGTGGGAATCAGCTGCCTGTAGCAGCAAGCTCATAATTCCTCTTCCCTCCAGCCGTGATGATGCGGCACCCGGCTGAATAAAACCCCGTGTGCATCCCCCGCTCCGGCGACCCGTGTCTGCGTGTAAAAAGCACTTAGTGCTTGTCTTGTTCGCCACATCTCTGTGCACGTGGGAGAGCCCTTAGAAGATTTTTAGGACGCAGTTGTGGTCCACCTCGATGAGACACAGTAGGAACAGCGGCGAGGGGAGGATGGAAGATGTGAGCGCTTGTGTGGCTGCGGAGATGTCAGAGTGACCTCGGGGAGGCCTTTTCCCACCCGGCTAAACCAGAGGTCAGCTGAGGGACTTGCCTTAGGGTGGAGGTTGAGGAGAGATTAAATGCTGGAGCAGAAAGGTGGGCTGGGGAAGGAGGAGACGCTCGTCCCCTAGCTCACGGCTGCTGCAAGCTGTCCTGCCTGGCGCCCGCTGCAGCTCCATCTCCACCAGTAAATGCAAAACGCATTTCCTCCGGGCGACGCTAGCCCTTAGCCGCGTGTCGGGCTCCTGCAAACCCCCCTCCTCACCACCAGCCCTGCCACCAGCGCAGAAACTGGCTCCTTGGGGCGGAGGGGTGAGGGTGCAGGTTTCCTAACGTGTGTCCGAAACGCGGGGTTTGAAAGCCCCGGGAACTCTTCAGAGCTGCTGAGGCACTTGGGTGATAAATTAGAGCATCTAGAAAGTTCAGTGCCCCACGGCTGCAGCGTGGCTACGGCAGGGGGGATTATGTGAGCCTGCCTTGCGCTCCAGTACCGGCCAGTGGCTGTTTAGACAGGGAAGAATTTCCTTTTTTGTGCGTAACAGCTCCGTGTTGCTGCTCTTGCAGAGCTGGGGGGGGGATCTGGCAGAGCTCGCTGCTGGGGGCTGAACGGGCTGGGGCGGAGGGCCTGATGTTAACCAGCGTAATCCAGGCGATGAGACTGATTAAAGGAGTTTAATTTCCTTTAACGAGCCTCAGCACGCTGCGGGGCCGGCGGTGGGTGGGTGTGTCCTGGCCTAATGTCCCCATATATTTGTCCTGCCCCTTTTTTCCCTCCTGCGTTTGCTCAGTGGGCCTGGTTAGAGGGAGGATGGGAGGTGGGAGGACACCTGCTGGCACCCAGCGCGGCCCTCAAGAGCCCCCCTCCCTCCTTGGGTTGTTCAGCCTGCTAATTTCTCGGGGATGAAGAGCAAACAGCTCAGGGCCACGCGCGGGAGCCACCGAAGGCCCAGAGATTAGCCATCCCTGCTGCTCTTGCACTGATTATCAAATCTAACGGGTTTATCTCGATGTCCTGTGTTCCCCCCAGCAGCTGGTGAGTTACTCACTCCGCCACGAGCTCGGCGGCAGCGCAAAACGCACCTGACCCGGCGGGTAAAATGTTAGTTCAGACTCAAAGGACATGAGGCTGTTGGTGGGGAAGGCGAAGGTGCAGCTGAGGCATCGAGAAGCACCACGTGGGTTTGGTTTTGGGTTCGCTGTAGCCGTTTTGGAAAGCAAACCCCAGCGCAGGGCAGCGAGTGCTCCCCACACGTGGCCCTGTGGCCTCTGCTCGCAGCCCCGTCTGCTTCCCAAACTACCCACCCTTCCAAAATCCCGTCCTCTGGCTGGCGATAAACACCCCTGGTAAAACCCTGGTGACAGGGAGGGCCCAGGGCCCAGGGTTGGCTCCTGGATCTGGCCAACCTGCTGCCACCAGAGCGGGGACCTTGTGGCAGGGGGGGGGG